TGGGGAGGGAGCCGCGGGCACCGTGCTCCCTGCGCTCCTCGCCCATCCCTCCGGGGGGTCACCTTGTCGGGGGTCGTGTCGTTTCGAGTCTCTGCTCCCCCCATTTCCCACCCCCTCCCACCTCCCGCGGCGGGGAAAAGACATGTTGGGTGTGGTTTCTTGACATTTTTAGCCGTGAGGTAATGCAAGGATTAAAAATAATATTTTAATCACCAGTGGATGGTGTCTATGATGAGGTCTTTGGGAACAGAGCTGTAGTTCGTTGTGGTTGTTGTTGTTTTTTTTAAATTTAATATAAAGAAGCGGATTTGGCTTACAGGAAAAAGGACATCGGCTATGGAGCACACACTGGAACCTTAGTTTTAGGTTTATTTAGATCACCCTTGGGGAATCCATCTTCCTTTCATTATTCAAACATGTTACTGAATGGGTTGAATACAGCGTTGAGGAAGCCATGACTACGAGGTTCCTAATAGGTCGGATAATACTGTGAAGTGTAGTATCATTAGCGTTACTTTACTCCAGAGCATTTGAGTCATAGTATGTCCGTCTTTCGGTCCGGACCCTGGTGTTTTCTATGCTTTGGGAATTGCTGTTGGATTTAAAAGGGTTTTCGATCTCTTTACATTTAGTTGTCTGGCATTTATTGGCCGTCTTGTCATTGGGACAACTTTGACCTCGCATCAGACTTCTTAGGAGATTTGAGTCTGAAAGTTCTTTGTCATTTTACCGAATTGTAAAGAGAAATGGTAGCCATCCTTCCCTTAGGATAGTTTGCTTTTGGTCCTCAGACACCTTAAAAAAAGCCTCATGTTCCTTTTTCAAGCAGTCTTTTGGTGATAGGTTTTTTTAGAAAATTTCAGGAGTGAATTGTACATATAATCCTTCAATTTGGTTTAGGGTGGCCAAATGGAGTATGCCTTTAAAAATGAGTCAAGGACAACATGACAGTTTTCAATTAATTTCTTATTTTTATAAGTGTACTTTTCATATTCAATAAATTTCTCATCGCCATGTTAGGCAGGGATTGCTTGCTTATTTCCATTTAAAAAATCTGCATTGGGAAAATACTAAAAGAAAATTTGAAGTTTCCTTTTGTGCTGTTGATATTTTTTTATTAATGTCTATTATGTTTATGACACATCTATATAGTTGTGTTAAAATAATTGGAATTTCTGAATTGAATATATTTGGGAACTTATATTTTAATATTATTAGCCACTACAAGTTCTTTTGGGGTAAAAAAAATGATTTTTAATTAGATTTCTTTACATTGTGTTAGCTATTTAAATTCTCTACCCATAAGTCACGTGGTTGCTGTAAAATATGTAGTGAGTAAAAGGCCTTAAGCTTAAGCAGTCATTCTAAGAGCAGAAATCTCACAGCATAGACTTTTAAGTGTTCTTTGTTATTTTTTACCTTTTTAGCATCTAGATTCTCATTTATGATTGACAGGCTTATTATTTTGTGATCAGAACTGATAAAATAAGAGAAAGAACATTGATTTAAAAATAAACTTATTGTCTTTTTGGTAAATAAAATATTAGAATAATGTCCCTTAAAAGGGATGGATTAAAAGAATCACTGTTTAAAAAGTGGTTTAGACTTCTTTTTTCTTTAGTATAACATAGCAGCAGATGCCCACATTTGTGAAGCTGGATTTCAGAATAATAATAATAATAATAATAATAAAGCAGCTAGTATTTATTAAGTGCTTGTTGTTTGCCAGCAACTATTCTAATAGCTTGACAGGTATTTTCTCATTTCATCCTCACTTCTATACTGCATGCTTAATTACGCTCTTTTTACAGAGAGGGTGAGTGAAGTACAGAGAATTTAAATAACTCACCACACAGTCAGTAAATTGTGGAGTCAGGATTATAGCCACGACTCTTACTTACAACATTAATGATAACAACAACTTCTCACTCTAATTGGGAACATGAGATAAAGTAGTGCCTTCACCAGGTCAGCCTTTGCAAAGAAGTAGAGACACTTGACATGATCTTTGTACTGCAGTGATTATGCATGCAAATATCATGGTTCTAAATGTGTAAAAGTTGGCTTTGCTTAATATTGGAGTGGCTAGTGCAGTTTCATTAAATGCAGGTGACTAAAGAGGGGCTGTGTAGATTTGGGGCTACATAGATGCAGTGATGTAACCGAACAGGTATAAATAGTGGAGCTGAAAGGAAAAAATACTGGAAGGCACACTGATACCACATTCATCTTTGGGAGTCATGATTAAATCTTTTATTTATTTACTAGAGGCCTGGTGCATGAAATTCATGCACAGGTAGGGTCCCTAGGCCTGGCTGGTGATCAGGGCCGATCTGTGGGGTGACCAGTGGGGTGATTGGGGACCCCTGCTGGCACCCTCCTTGGCTGGTCTGGCACTGCCCGCTTGCCGGCACCACCCCTGGCCGCAGCTGCCTTTCTCCTTCTGTGGGGCAACTGGCAGGGTGATGGGGAGGGGGGGCTGCTTGCACCTGCCTTGGCTGGCCTGGGGCCTGTGGGATGGGGGCAGTTCCTGCGTTGAGCGTCTGCTTCCTGGTGGTCGGTGTGCATCATAGTGACTGGTTGTTCCGCCAGTCTTTCCGCTGTTCAGTCAATTTGCATATTAGGCTTTTATTATAAAGGATTTATTTATTTATTTAAAAATATTTTTATTTATTTCAGAGAGGAAGGAAGAGGGAGAGAGAGTTAGAAATATTAGTGATGAGAGCGAATCATTGGTCCGCTGCCTCCTGTATGCCCCCCACTGGGGATTGAACCC